TGTACTATGGGAGGTAGAGCCTTCAGTTATCAGGCCTGCTCGTGGTAACAGTCTCTAAATGTACTATGGGAGGAGTAGAGCCTTCAGTTATCAGGCCTGCTCGGGTACAGTCTCTAAATGTACTATGGGAGGTAGAGCCTTCAGTTATCAGGCCTGCTCGTGGTACAGTCTCTAAATGTACTATGGGAGGTAGAGCCTTCAGTTATCAGGCCTGCTTGGTACAGTCTCTAAATGTACTATGGGAGGTAGAGCCTTCAGTTATCAGACCTGCTCGTGGTACCTACAGTCTCTAAATGTACTATGGGAGGTGGAGCCTTCAGTTATCAGGCCTGCTCGTGGTACAGTCTCTAAATGTACTATGGGAGGTAGAGCCTTCAGTTATCAGGCCTGCTCGTGGTACCTACGATCTCTAAATGTACTATGGGAGGTAGAGCCTTCAGTTATCAGGCCTGCTCGTGGTACAGTCTCTAAATGTACTATGGGAGGTAGAGCCTTCAGTTATCAGGCCTGCTCGTGGTACAGTCTCTAAATGTACTATAGGAGGTAGAGCCTTCAGTTATCAGGCCAGCTCGTGGTACAGTCTCTAAATGTACTATAGGAGGTAGAGCCTTCAGTTATCAGGCCTGCTCGTGGTACAGTCTCTAAATGTACTATGGGAGGTAGAGCCTTCAGTTATCAGGCCTGCTTGTGGTACTACGGTCTCTAAATGTACTATGGGAGGTAGAGCCTTCAGTTATCAGGCCTGCTTGTGGTACCTACGGTCTCTAAATGTACTATGGGAGGTAGAGCCTTCAGTTATCAGGCCTGCTGTGGTACAGTCTCTAAATGTACTATGGGAGGTAGAGCCTTCAGTTATCAGGCCTGCTCGTGGTACAGTCTCTAAATGTACTATGGGAGGTAGAGCCTTCAGTTATCAGGCCTGCTCGTGGTACAGTCTCTAAATGTACTATAGGAGGTAGAGCCTTCAGTTATCAGGCCTGCTCGTGGTACAGTCTCTAAATGTACTATGGGAGGTAGAGCCTTCAGTTATCAGGCCTGCTCGTGGTACCTACGATCTCTAAATGTACTATGGGAGGTAGAGCCTTCAGTTATCAGGCCTGCTTGTGGTACCTACGGTCTCTAAATGTACTATGGGAGGTAGAGCCTTCAGTTATCAGGCCTGCTCGTGGTACAGTCTCTAAATGTACTATAGGAGGTAGAGCCTTCAGTTATCAGGCCTGCTCGTGGTACAGTCTCTAAATGTACTATGGGAGGTAGAGCCTTCAGTTATCAGGCCTGCTTGTGGTACCTACGGTCTCTAAGTGTACTATGGGAGGTAGAGCCTTCAGTTATCGGTCTGGTCGTGGTACCTACGATCTCTAAATGTACTATGGGAGGTAGAGCCTTCAGTTATCAGGCCTGCTCGTGGTACAGTCTCTAAATGTACTATAGGAGGTAGAGCCTTCAGTTATCAGGCCAGCTCGTGGTACAGTCTCTAAATGTACTATAGGAGGTAGAGCCTTCAGTTATCAGGCCTGCTCGTGGTACAGTCTCTAAATGTACTATGGGAGGTACAGCCTTCAGTTATCAGGCCTGCTTGTGGTACCTACGGTCTCTAAGTGTACTATGGGAGGTAGAGCCTTCAGTTATCAGGCCTGCTTGTGGTACCTACGGTCTCTAAGTGTACTATGGGAGGTAGAGCCTTCAGTTATCAGGCCTGCTCGTGGTACAGTCTCTAAATGTACTAGGAGGTAGAGCCTTCAGTTATCAGGCCTGCTCGTGGTACAGTCTCTAAATGTACTATGGGAGGTAGAGCCTTCAGTTATCAGGCCTGCTTGTGGTACCTACGGTCTCTAAGTGTACTATGGGAGGTAGAGCCTTCAGTTATCAGGCCTGCTCGTGGTACCTACGGTCTCTAAGTGTACTATGGGAGGTAGAGCCTTCAGTTATCAGGCCTGCTCGTGGTACAGTCTCTAAATGTACTATGGGAGGTAGAGCCTTCAGTTATCAGGCCTGCTCGTGGTACAGTCTCTAAATGTACTATGGGAGGTAGAGCCTTCAGTTATCAGGCCTGCTTGTGGTACCTACGGTCTCTAAGTGTACTATGGGAGGTAGAGCCTTCAGTTATCAGGCCTGCTTGTGGTACCTACGGTCTCTAAGTGTACTATGGGAGGTAGAGCCTTCAGTTATCAGGCCTGCTCGTGGTACAGTCTCTAAATGTACTATGGGAGGTAGAGCCTTCAGTTATCAGGCCTGCTCGTGGTACAGTCTCTAAATGTACTATGGGAGGTAGAGCCTTCAGTTATCAGGCCTGCTCGTGGTACAGTCTCTAAATGTACTATGGGAGGTAGAGCCTTCAGTTATCAGGCCTGCTTGTGGTACCTACGGTCTCTAAGTGTACTATGGGAGGTAGAGCCTTCAGTTATCAGGCCTGCTCGTGGTACAGTCTCTAAATGTACTATAGGAGGTAGAGCCTTCAGTTATCAGGCCTGCTCGTGGTACAGTCTCTAAATGTACTATGGGAGGTAGAGCCTTCAGTTATCAGGCCTGCTCGTGGTACAGTCTCTAAATGTACTATGGGAGGTAGAGCCTTCAGTTATCAGGCCTGCTTGTGGTACCTACGGTCTCTAAAGTGTACTATGGGAGGTAGAGCCTTCAGTTATCAGGCCTGCTCATGGTACCAGTCTCAAATGTACTATAGGAGGTAGAGCCTTCAGTTATCAGGCCTGCTCGTGGTACAGTCTCTAAATGTACTATGGGAGGTAGAGCCTTCAGTTATCAGGCCTGCTCGTGGTACAGTCTCTAAATGTACTATGGGAGGTAGAGCCTTCAGTTATCAGGCCTGCTCGTGGTACAGTCTCTAAATGTACTATAGGAGGTAGAGCCTTCAGTTATCAGGCCTGCTCGTGGTACAGTCTCTAAATGTACTATGGGAGGTAGAGCCTTCAGTTATCAGGCCTGCTTGTGGTACCTACGGTCTCTAAGTGTACTATGGGAGGTAGAGCCTTCAGTTATCAGACCTGCTCGTGGTACCTACAGTCTCTAAATGTACTATGGGAGGTAGAGCCTTCAGTTATCAGGCCTGCTCGTGGTACAGTCTCTAAATGTACTATGGGAGGTAGAGCCTTCAGTTATCAGGCCTGCTCGTGGTACCTACGTCTCTAAATGTACTATGGGAGGTAGAGCCTTCAGTTATCAGGCCTGCTCATGGTACCCACGGTCTCCAAATGTACTATAGGAGGTAGAGCCTTCAGTTATCAGGCCTGCTCGTGGTACAGTCTCTAAATGTACTATGGGAGGTAGAGCCTTCAGTTATCAGGCCTGCTTGTGGTACCTACGGTCTCTAAGTGTACTATGGGAGGTAGAGCCTTCAGTTATCAGACCTGCTCGTGGTACCTACAGTCTCTAAATGTACTATGGGAGGTGGAGCCTTCAGTTATCAGGCCTGCTCGTGGTACAGTCTCTAAATGTACTATGGGAGGTAGAGCCTTCAGTTATCAGGCCTGCTCGTGGTACCTACGGTCTCTAAATGTACTATGGGAGGTAGAGCCTTCAGTTATCAGGCCTGCTCATGGTACCCACGGTCTCCAAATGTACTATAGGAGGTAGAGCCTTCAGTTATCAGGCCTGCTCGTGGTACAGTCTCTAAATGTACTATGGGAGGTAGAGCCTTCAGTTATCGGGCCTGCTCGTGGTACAGTCTCTAAATGTACAATGGGAGGTAGAGCCTTTAGTTATCGGGCCTGCTTGTGGTACCCACAGTCTCTAAATGTACTATGGGAGGTAGAGCCTTCAGTTATCGGGCCTGCTCGTGGTACCCACAGTCTCTAAATGTACTATGGGAGGTAGAGCTTTCAGTTATCAGACCTGCTCGTGGTACCTACAGTCTCTAAATGTACTATGGGAGGTGGAGACTTCAGTTATCAGGCCTGCTTGTGGTACAGTCTCTAAATGTACTATGGGAGGTAGAGCCTTCAGTTATCAGGCCTGCTCATGGTACCTACGGTCTCTAAATGTACAATGGGAGGTAGAGCCTTCAGTTATCAGGCCTGCTCGTGGTACCTACGGTCTCTAAATGTACTATGGGAGGTAGAGCCTTCAGTTATCAGGCCTGATCGTGGTACCTACAGTCTCTAAATGTACAATGGGAGGTAGAGCCTTCAGTTATCAGGCCTGCTCGTGGTACAGTCTCTAAAGGTACTATGGGAGGTAGAGCCTTCAGTTATCAGGCCTGCTCGTGGTACCTACAGTCTCTAAATGTACTATGGGAGGTAGAGCCTTCAGTTATCAGACCTGCTCGTGGTACCTACAGTCTCTAAATGTACTATGGGAGGTGGAGCCTTCACTTATCAGGCCTGCTCGTGGTACAGTCTCTAAATGTACTATGGGAGGTAGAGCCTTCAGTTATCAGGCCTGCTTGTGGTACAGTCTCTAAATGTACTATGGGAGGTAGAGCCTTCAGTTATCAGGCCCCTCTCCTTTGGAATCATCTACCAGTCAGGGTTCTGGAGGCAAACACACTCTGTACTTATAAGAATAGACTTAGAACTTTCCTTTTTGATAAAGCTTATAGTTAGGGCTGGCGCAGGTATGGACCAGCTCCTAGTTACTCTGCTATAGATCGGCTTAGACTGCCGGGGGACCTGGCACACTAAGATTTATACTCCCCCCCCCCTGCTTATTGTCTCCAGTGAGTCTGGTTCTGTTTTCTGCCTGTTAAGGAAGTTTTCCTGTGCTCATGGTGAATTAATGTTGGCTCTCTGTAAATTCAACAAAGGGTACGCTCTAAGCCTTCTCTTTTTGTACGTCTTTTAAAGAAAACTGATTCAATGTGTGGAAGCCTCATCCTGTAGGGACAAAGAAACTGGACTTACCTGATCCGGTCCTGCCCACAATACCGATCTTCTCCCTGGGCCGGATGGTGCAGGAGATCCTGTTGAGGACAAGAGGGAAGTTCTCCTGGTACCTCATCTCCACCTCCCTGAGCACCAGCTCCCCTTGCTGGGGCCAGTCATCAGGAGGGGCCCGATCTTTGATCCGGGCCGGGGCCTCCTGGGACAGGGACTGAGAAAGAAACATAGGGTGAAGAGACGAGTATCCATGGCACAGTTTTTTACCAAAGTGAACAACATCTGTATCCATGACATTTAGCATTGTAGCATGTTCGCTAGTTAACCAGTTAAAGCTGTTCTGGTTCCTTATCTGGACAGTTTTAGTTCTGAGATAGAGGTGCTCAACCAAGAGTTTGTTTTACTGCAGCTCTAGCCCCCCGTGACCCGGCTCAGCAGGAGGTCTCTGAATTAGCGCCTGAGTCCTGCTGAACCAGGTCCTTTCAGTTGTCTCACTGTGATCTGGATTTGTTCTCTGCTAAAATCAGAACACACATTCTTGTTCGTCAAGCCGAACAGGTTCCTGTGGTCTGGTCCGGTCTGGGGCTGAATCCTTCTACCTCGATGTATTGGAACTAGTCTGAAGCCTGGACTCTGTACCTGGATGTATTGGAACCAGTCTAAAGGCTGGACTCTGTACCTGGATGTATTGGAACCAGTATGTATTGGAACCAGTCTGAAGCCTGGACTCTGTACCTGGATGTAGTGGAACCAGTCTAAAGGCTGGACTCTGTACCTGGATGTATTGGAACCAGTCTAAAGGCTGGACTCTGTACCTGGATGTAGTGGAACCAGTCTAAAGGCTGGACTCTGTACCTGGATGTAGTGGAACCAGTCTAAAGGCTGGACTCTGTACCTGGATGTATTGGAAACAGTCTAAAGGCTGGACTCTGTACCTGGATGTAGTGGAACCAGTCTAAAGGCTGGACTCTGTACCTGGATGTATTGGAACCAGTCTAAAGGCTGGACTCTGTTCCTGGATATATTGGAACCAGTCTAAAGGCTGGACTCTGTACCTGGATGTAGTGGTGGATTCTCTCGACGGATGTGAAGCGAGCTTCAGTCTCAGACGCCAGGCGCACGGTGAACTGGAACAACCCTGTTAACTGAAAGAATGACCGGTAGAGTCAGGACCCTGGGCTAAAGCTCACCTGAAGACACCTTTAAGACGATGCCTTCAGATTACCTGCACAGCGTAGGAGATGGCAAGGCCAGCATAGGCGGTAGGGATCCTCCCATGCATCAGGACCATCATGAGGGCGGTGATGCTGATCAGAGCTACACTGATGACATCCAGACGCACAGCCAGCCAGCGCATGGCACAGCTGAACAGGTAGAACGGAGCCTGGTTCTGGTCCAGCAGAACCTGGTACCTGAAAAAACAACATGGTCAGACCGGGCAGGGGGGCGGAGCCTGCAAATATCTGGCTATCAGGGTGTTTTAAGACATAGTTCCATCCTGACCTGGCAAGGAAGTCTTGGCCCCGGCCATAGGCCTGCAGCGTGGACAGGCCCTGGATGCTGGACGTGATGTGGGACATGAAGGGGGACATGGTCACATTGTCCAGGCGCTTTAGCTCCCGGATGAAAACCCTGGAGATGCCATGCAGCGCTGCAAACAGCAACACGAGAGGACCCACAGCCACCAGGAACCATGGAAAAACCCAGCTGATGACGCCGAGGCAGAAGAAGACCAGGATCAGGTTCTGGATGAACATCTCGGCCTGGAAGGGCAGACGGGTGTCAACTAGAGGAAACAAAAAGGTTGTCAGTGAGATATCCAGAGGGTTCCATGTTTCAGGTTCTGATCAGAGTCTGGACTTGGTGCAGTCCGGTGTGTCACCTTCATCCATGTCTTTGGAGAAACGGTTCAGGATTTGAGCTGTGGGAGTTACGTCGAAGAACTTCATTGGGCAGCGGAGGATCTTACGGAAGAGCTGATCGTGAAGTCTAGAGGAGGCGCGTAAAGTTCCCTGTAAACACAACCAGTAAACACATCACGGACATTATAAATCTATCTGTGTACCTGAACGCATCACGGACATTATGAATCTATCTGTGTACCTGAATGCATCATGGACATTATAAATCTATCCGTGTACCTGAATGCCTCACGGACATTATAAATCTATCTGTGTACCTGAACGCATCACGGACATTATGAATCTATCTGTGTACCTGAATGCCTCACGGGCATTATAAATCTAGCTGTGTACCTGAATGCCTCACGGACATCATTTATCTATCTGTGTACCTGAACGCCTCACAGACATTCTTCATCTACCTGTGTAGCTCTCAGATCTGTGAGTGACCCCCTCACCTTAACGAAGGCCACGCCCCTAATGACTTTCAGGAGCAGCATGACGCCCATGGAGTAGGCGTAAACAGCAGTGTAGTATTGCATCATGGGATTGTCCTTCATGCTGATGCTTGCATCAGAGCTGTTTCCTGGGACTACCGTGGCATTCTGGAAACACAGGAGACGTGGGAGGAGTCAGGAGGAGGGGGCTATGAGGAGGTGATGACAAAGAGTAGGAGTCCATAATAAGAGGGTGATGATGATGATGATGCTGAGGGGGGGGAGCCTCACCCCACTGCCCTGGTTGATCCAGTAGCTGAGCCACCATTGGCAGAAGGCAGAGCTTCCCACGTTGAGAACAAAGAGAGCCAGGATCAGGAGGCAGGAGGCGGAGCCACCACACGCAGACATGTAAAGCTGGAACACTGGCCAGGCCACGCCCCCACACTGCCGCTCCTCCCCTTTAAAGTCATATGACCAAAAACCAAAGGAGGTTACTGATGAGAGGAGGAGGAGACTCAGTGAAGGTATACTGCTGTAGTTAGTTACCGTGCTCCTTAACAACAGGTGAGTTCTTCTTCACTGATCCTGGTTTACTGTCCACTGGTTTCCTCTGACCAGAACCCGTCTTTCTGCTGGGAGCCTGGGACAGACAGACAGGTAGAGACAGACAGGTAGTAATAAGAGACAGACAGGTAGTAATAAGAGACAGACAGGTAGTAAGAAGAGACAGACAGGTAGAGACAGACAAGTAGTAATAAGAGACAGACAGGTAGAGACAGACAGGTAGTAATAAGAGACAGACAGGTAATAACAAGAGACAGACAGGTAGAGACAGACAGGTAGTAATAAGAGACAGACAGGTAGTAATAAGAGACAGACAGGTAGAGACAGACAGGTAGTAATAAGAGACAGACAGGTAATAACAAGAGACAGACAGGTAGAGACAGACAGGTAGTAATAAGAGACAGACAGGTAGAGACAGACAGGTAGTAATAAGAGACAGACAGGCAGTAAGAAGAGACAGACAGGTAGTAAGAAGAGACAGACAGGTAGAGACAGACAGGTAGTAATAAGAGACAGACAGGTAGAGACAGACAGGTAGTAATAAGAGACAGACAGGTACCTCCATATAAGGAGTGTCTCCCAGTTGGAAGTGGTTGAACATGGCGGCGTAGTCCATATTTAGTTTCATCAGGTTGTCATGGTTACCCTGCTCCACTATACTCCCCTCCCTCATCAGGATGACATCATCACAGTCCACCAGGTACTGCACACACACACACACACACAGACACACAGACACACAGACACACACACACACACACACACACACACACACACACAGGTCATGGTGATGGCGGTCCCGGGTGTTACGGCGTCCCTGCACCTGTCTCACCTGCAGCTGGTGGGTAACAAAGATAATGGTCTTTTGACGGAGCTGCTTCCTGATGGCGTTGTGGAAGATGTGGTTGGCCACGTGGGCGTCGAGGGTACTGAGCGGGTCGTCCAGGATGTAAACATCCCGCTCGCTGTAGAGGGCCCGGGCCAAGCTGATTCGCTGTCGCTGCCCGCCGCTGAGGTTGGCACCTCGCTCGCCGATCTGAAGAGATGTAAACAAAGATCAGCAGAGGTTACATCTGGAGTGTGGCACCCTCTGCTGGTTAAGACGTGTACTGCAGCAGAGTCTCACCTGAGTGGACAAAATACTTTAACCACCAAACTGAACGATTTGAAAACACACAATCTAAAGTAACTGAGGCTCCTCCTGTCGAGCCGAGGGGCGGAGTCAGCTGATAAAGTGAGTGCACAGGTGTGTGGAGACCTATCACAGTTTACATTAACATTGAAACAGGAAGTGATGTCACCTCTGTCAGGTCGGCGTTGGGCAGCAGGGTGAGATCTGGTCTGAGGCAGCAGGTGTTCAGCACGGTCTGATACCTGCAGGGACAGACAGGTGTTAACCACACGTCCTCCTCTTGAGACCAGCTGACCTCACCTGTCCTCCTCTCACCTGTCCCCCTCTCACCTGTCCCCCTCTCACCTGTCCTCCTCTCACCTGTCCTCCTCTCACCTGTCCTCCTCTCACCTGTGCCCCTCACCTGTCCTCCTCTCACCTGTCCCCCTCTCACCTGTCACCCTCTCACCTGTCCTCCTCTCACCTGTGCCCCTCACCTGTCCTCCTCTCACCTGTCCTCCTCTCACCTGTCCCCCTCTCACCTGTCCTCCTCTCACCTGTCCTCCTCTCACCTGTCACCCTCTCACCTGTCCTCCTCTCACCTGTCACCCTCTCACCTGTCCTCCTGGTACTCCTGTCCAAACAGGATGTTGTCTCTCAGTGTCGCGTTCAGGATCCAGGCCTGCTGAGCCACATAGGCCAGCTGTCCTCTAACCGCCACCCGTCCCGCCAACAGGGTCATCTGAACACGAGCAGCCGCCATCAGTCATCAACAATAACACACAGGATGACATCACTGCAGCAGGTGACCTCACCTGTCCAATGATGGCCGAGATCAGAGATGTCTTTCCACTGCCGACACTCCCACACACACCCAGCAGCTTGCCCTGAGCAGACAGACAGGTGTCACAGGGGTCTCACTCTCACTCAGCAGACAGACAGGTGTCACAGGGGTCTCACTCTCACCCAGCAGACAGACAGGTGTCTCACTCATTCTAAGCAGACAGACAGGTGTCTCACTCTCACCCAGCAGACAGACAGGTGTCTCACTCACTCAGCAGACAGACATGTGTCTCACTCACTCTAAGCAGACAGACAGGTGTCTCACTCACTCTAAGCAGACAGACAGGTGTCTCACTCACTCTAAGCAGACAGACAGGTGTCACAGATGTCTCACTCTCACTCAGTAGACAGACAGGTGTTCCTACCTGTCTCACTCTCAGGTTGATGCAATGCAGTGTCCTCTGAAGACGCTGGTGGGCGGCGGCAGCTGTCAGGGGGGCGGGGCTTTCCTCCTCCTCTGGACCTAAGGAGACTCCTCCCCCTCTCAGCAGGGAGCCTGTCACCTGCTCCTCCTGGAGAACCCCTCTGCCTATGCACCTGGGAGTCAGCACACCTGGTTAAGCTCCTCCCCATTTGAATCAGTTTCTCCTGACTCAGAGTGAAACACCTGATGACATCACCAGGTGAAACAGACTTTAGATTCAGGTCATGTACCTGTCTCTCTTGTCCGTACGGGAACATGGACTGGGCTGAGCGCTCTGACCAACCCCGTCCCACGCCAGACTGGCCCCACACATCTCCACGGCAACCTGAGGGTCACCAGGAGATGCACGCACGCCCTCAACCTCCGGCAACAGGAAGAGACTCTGAGAAGAGAGACGAGGACAGAGAGGTTGAACCAGGTCAAACCATCAGGTCAAAGGTCAAACCATCAGGTCAACACAAGGTCAAACCATCAGGTCAAACCATCAGGTCAACACAAGGTCAAACCATCAGGTCAAACCATCAGGTCAAAGGTCAAACCATCAGGTCAAACCATCAGGTCAAAGGTCAAACCATCAGGTCAACACAAGGTCAAACCATCAGGTCAAACCCTCAGGTCAAAGGTCAAACCATCAGGTCAACACAAGGTCAAACCATCAGGTCAACACAAGGTCAAACCATCAGGTCAAAGGTCAAACCATCAGGTCAAAGGTCAAACCATCAGGTCAAACCATCAGGTCAAACCCTCAGGTCAAAGGTCAAACCATCAGGTCAACACAAGGTCAAACCATCAGGTCAACACAAGGTCAAACCATCAGGTCAAACCATCAGGTCAAACCCTCAGGTCAAAGGTCAAACCATCAGGTCAACACAAGGTCAAACCATCAGGTCAACACAAGGTCAAACCATCAGGTCAAAGGTCAAACCATCAGGTCAAACCATCAGGTCAAACCCTCAGGTCAAACCCTCAGGTCAACACAAGGTCAAACCATCAGGTCAAAGGTCAAACCATCAGGTCGAAGGTCAAACCCTCAGGTCAACACAAGGTCAAACCATCAGGTCAAACCCTCAGGTCAAAGGTCAAACCATCAGGTCAACCCAAGGTCAAACCATCAGGTCAAAGGTCAAACCATCAGGTCGAAGGTCAAACCATCAGGTCAAAGGTCAAACCATCAGGTCGAAGGTCAAACCAGTTAAAACCAGGTCATTGGAGGTAGGAGGTAGGAAAGGAAGTAGCAGAGGAGATAGGATCTGACCTTGAATCTCTCCATGGCGACTGACGCCTCAGACAGAGACTTGACGGAGAAAGGAGTGACCTTCAGAGCAAAGGTCATGGCGTTGAATACGGTTACCACGGTGAAGGCCTGCAGTGACAAACAGGAAACATGTTAGCAACATCCTGCTACAATGCTAACAGGTTAGCAGAAAGGCTAATGAGAAGGTTAGCATGTTAGCCGACAGAGTTTGGTACCTGAGCTGCTGTCAGGTCGTATCCTAGCAACATGTGGGCGGAGAATGTTGCCACGCTGGCTATGACGACAACTATGGGAGCCACGCCCACAGTGACGCTTTGGAAGTAACCCGTCATTTCCAAGATCCTCCGCTCCTCATCGCGGATCCCTGGAGGAGAAACATCTGTGTTACCATGGCGACAGGCGGGCCAGGTGGGTGTGTGCAGGTGAGTACGTACTGCGGACGTCCTGTGCGAAGGCTTTGACCCAGGCGAACATCTTGATGAACTTTATGTAGCTCAGGATCTCGTTCATTTTCTGCACCCGTTGGTCTGTGATGGCCACGCCCCTCCTCCTAAAGAACGCCGTCAGTCTGGAGCTGAACATCTGATCAGAAAACAAACGATTCACTGGATCAACAAACAAACACAACCTGAGCAGAGCGAGCAGACAGGCACTGACCACGCTCACTGACCACGCTCACTGACCACGCCCACTGACCACGCCCACTGACCACGCCCACTGACCACGCCCACTGACCACGCTCACTGACCACGCTCACGCTCACTGACCACGCTCACTGACCACGCTCACGCTCAATGACCACGCTCACTGACCACGCTCACTGACCACGCCCACTGACCACGCCCACTGACCACGCTCACTGACCACGCTCACGCTCAATGACCACGCTCACTGACCACGCCCACTGACCACGCCCACTGACCACGCCCACTGACCACGCCCACTGACCACGCTCACTGACCACGCTCACGCTCAATGACCACGCTCACTGACCCCGCTCACGCTCACTGACCACGCTCACTGACCACGCTCACGCTCAATGACCACGCTCACTGACCACGCTCACGCTCACTGACCACGCTCACTGACCACGCTCACGCTCACTGACCACGCCCACTGACCACGCTCACTGACCACGCTCACTGACCACGCCCACTGACCACGCTCACTGACCACGCTCACTGACCACGCTCACTGACCACGCTCACGCTCACTGACCACGCTCACTGACCACGCTCACGCTCAATGACCACGCTCACTGACCACGCCACTGACCACGCCCACTGACCACGCCCACTGACCACGCCCACTGACCACGCTCACTGACCACGCTCACGCTCAATGACCACGCTCACGCTCACTGACCCCGCTCACGCTCACTGACCCCGCTCACGCTCACTGACCCCGCTCACGCTCACTGACCACGCTCACTGACCACGCTCACGCTCAATGACCACGCTCACTGACCACGCTCACGCTCACTGACCACGCTCACTGACCACGCTCACTGACCACGCTCACGCTCACTGACCACGCTCACTGACCACGCCCACTGACCACGCCCACTGACCACGCTCACTGACCACGCTCACTGACCACGCCCACTGACCACGCCCACTGACCACGCTCACTGACCACGCTCACTGACCACGCTCACGCTCACTGACCACGCTCACTGACCACGGCCACTGACCACGGCCACTGACCACGGCCACTGACCACGCTCACGCTCACTGACCACGCTCACGCTCACTGACCACGCTCACTGACCACGCTCACTGACCACGCCCACTGACCACGCCCACTGACCATGGTCGGGT